GCTCATAGAAATAACCTAACATTGTTGAAACTGCATGACCTCAGGCTTCCATGCAACAAACTCCAAAGCAAATCGAGCTTTTCATCCATAGAAACATTTGGTTTGTTTTAGAAAGACTTTTAAGAGCAGCTTGTGTGAGCAGAGATGAGGAGATTTGATTCAGTGAAAAGAGCCTGTGAGTGAATATACAGGGAAAGGAAAAGAAAATTGCAGTTAAGATGTATTGCATCTGTATAATATTGAGATAATGCGGATTTGTAATCTTGGTCTTTGATCCAAATGACAGGGACAAAACAACACAGTGCATCTTTAAACAAAGGATACCACTGAGGATTCAGTAGCAATGATGTTTCTGGCCTCAAAGGAGCACACTACAGTACGTAACGCACATTACATGTTATTCTGAAGTTCCTTTTAAGCTTGTACACCAGCATCCACAGGGAAACGTTTCAGTCCAAATGAAAAGTCAGTCTGACATTTACGACATTTATCAATCTCCAAAGAAGCAAACAAAAAAACATTAGACACAGACATAGCCTACATATTTTTAGCCCACTTAATTTACAACTCTTAATGTGTACCAAATAAAGTTTTCATATTTCTTTCAGTTAAGAAATTACCAATTAGATTTCAAACATGTGGTTGATCATCAAAAATAATGCCTATACAGAAATTTGTTCTGACCCTTAGCCACCATGACAACTCGGCCAGCATCAATGGTCACGCCCACTGAGAGGAGTGCAATCTCGGAAGCCCTTTGGTAATTTACCAATCCAGTCGCCAGAATAAGTGTTGGCATTGTACATTTGTGCAAACCACAGCTGTGTTACATTTGTGTGTTATAATAGAGGAGACAGCAGGGAATGCAGTGATGTCTTAGTAAAACATAAAACAATTGCTTTTCATGGTCCTATCCCAGCTGGACATGCAGCAATGCCTCGGTAAAAAACAACCGCTTTTTGTGGCACTATCTCAGGTGGAAATTCAGGAACATCTCAGTCAAAAAGAAACACTTCTTATGATGCTGTCCCAGCAGGAAACGCCGCGATCTCTTGGTAAAGAACAGCTACTTTTTTGTGACACTATCCCAACAATATCTTAGTGAAAAAAACAACTGCTTCTTGTGGCAGAAGCCATGCTGGAAACTTAGAGATGTCTCGGTAAAAAACAACCACTTTCTGTGACACTGGCTACGGTTACATGATGGCTTCTCATTCAGAATGAAATAAATCTGAATGAAATCATTCGTAATTAAAGTTTTTCCAGGTAGTTTACATGGGAAATATTCATTACGAATGAGGGTTTACACAGGAGATCAGTTTGATCGCCTTTATTCAGGTCTGCGCAAGGTTTGGGGCAGGGAAGGTTTCTGATTGGATAGGGGGCGGGGCAGATGTTACGTGTTTACGTTTACCGGAAGACAACACTGTATAGTCCTCGCTCCGGATAACAAGATGCTTGACGACGCCGTTCTTAGTGCCTTTTTCGGGCTTGTTTTGCTTATATTCTTGAAGCAGCAGTACGACAACAACCTTGTTCTGCTAATGCTTCATCTGTTGAGGAGGAGAAGGGAGGTAGAAGGTCGAAGAAGGGAGATAGAAGACCGTGCTTTTGCGAATGGAAACCGGTGAATGCAACGAGTCCGACTGCTCTATCTCAGCCCGCTGCTATGCACGCTGTATATATCATCGCGCCAGAAGGGCAAGGAAACGAGCATGCGCAGAAAGAACGGAATGAACTTAAAGAGGAATGAATGTATACATGCACACAAAATTCTTTCATTCGGAATGACAAACGGAATAAACCACCCCCTTTAATCAGATTTAATTTTCAATCGGAATGACCGTTTTTTAATCGGAATGGCCTTTCATTCCAAATGAAAGTGGAATTAAACTGTACATGTAAACGTACTGACTATCCCAGCTGGAAATGCAGTAATATCTTAGTAAAAACAACCACTTTTGGTGGCACTGTCCCAGTGAGAAACACAACAAACAACTGCTTTTCTTGGCACAATCCAGGCTGGAAACACAGTGATTGTTTAAAAACATCCACTTTTTGTGGCACCATCCCTGGTGAAAAAAACAGTAATAGGCCACTAAATAACATTCACATTTTCTCACTGCTTTTCCTTAAATAAAACCAACTGATTTTGTTGTTTGTTGGTCTCCAACAGTGGTCTACAACTTGGCAGCCATCTTGCCTAGCTGTCTGGATCCACCATCCCCTCCACCTCCAACAGACAAAGTCAGCACAGACACCATGTCCCTTTTTAGAAGCTGATATATTGTGTATGAAATGTACTAATGTAATATATCTGTGGTTTGCAGAAACGTACAGTAGCAACATTTTCCCCTGGCAGCTGGACTGAATTTATCATTTCCGCTGATGTCTCCATAGCATCGTAAACCCTGCCCCCTGGTGGCCAAAAAAAGACCAATTTTGCTATTTGTAAAGAGAGGCTTGTGTCACTGTTAAATCATCCGTCTCCTCTTTTCAGGCTGCAGCCTGTTTATCTGCACACACCCGTATAATTAATGCATCAGATGTCACAGATTTGGAATTCAGATACATTTGGCTGTCAAGGAGCCGCTCACTGTGATTCAAACGTCTGACACGACACAAGTGATACACACAAATACATGAAGGAAGATATGCCTTCATTGACACTCAAAGTCACAGCCATGGACGCTTGAAAATACACAAGTCTCAACGACACACACTCACACAGAGACTGATGCACAGCCTGTAATCTCAATGACAGCTAACATGTTTATAATTACACAGCATGTATCCAAGGCAGCCATTCAAAAGATCTGAGACTATTACTTGAGCTGTCAGCGCTGCTCACCAGTGTGTGAATGTTGATCTGTTCCACATTTATTTAAAAAAAAAATCCAAATCAGTTTTCTCCATCATAGTAAATGCATTCAGCTACTACACTGTGAACACCTAGAGAGTTGTGGATGATTGCACGTCATTAAACGGTCACCTGTATTTTTCAACATGGACCCTATTTTCCTACGTTATTGTGTCAAAATTAGCACTTGTACGTAGGTTTTTTAAACACAGGTACACCCAACTTTAATGCAGATTGAAAAGCCAAACTTTTGTCACTTAGCACCTATCAAAAAATACATACAGTAAGTATATAAATTACTTCAGCTGTCAGTGTGCACAGGCTAATCTCGTTTTATTTTAATTACCCAAATCTCTTCTGTTTTCCAATCTGTACAAAAAACAATCATTTTAATGCTGATTGAAAAGCTCACATTCAGTCTCCTGGGACCACAGCTGCACAGCATACATGAACATGCAACTGCTCACAACATTAACATTGATTTGAGCCCTGCTGTTTCTTAAATCAACCTCACTCTGTTTACACTGGAGAGCAACAAATACATAAAGTGATACGAATTCATAAAGAACAGGAAAATTGAATTGTGCATCCTACTTAAAGGAAACACTGTGAATTTAATTGGATGTCAGATTTATACAGTCAGTCTCTCGACACTATGGCACTATAACATAATTGTAAGAAGGAAGCAATGATAGAGAGTATAATTAATTCCCCTCAAGCAAACTGATTCTGGTCGTTCATTTATAGGACAAATTCATGTCTCACTGTAAAAACAAAAAGAGAAATTAATGCTGATCTGCGCTCTTGTATTCCCAGTAGCTCTGTTTATGTCACACACTTTCCCAAAGCGGTTCTTCACACTTTCTGTAACACCTGCCTACATGTTTGTGATTTCCAGGCCTCCCTGGAGGATTACGGATGAATAATTATCCAAAAACCTTTTCCCACGTTTTCTCCCACTTTGGAATGCCTAGTTCCCCAAATATCATATACATCTCTTGAAAATTATAGTCAGTGCACACCAGCTGAATGCCAAATGAGGTAGCAGCTAGGTGTAGATTTTTTGGGGGGGTGCAGGGAAAATGTCCCCCTCAATATTTAGACCACAAGCATTTGTACAGTCCAATAAAAATGTGAAAGTAGCAGAGGACTTTTATTTCAACAAATTGCTGGAACACAACTCATAAGCCCCGTTTCCACCAAACACTTTCAGTATGGTACCTTTGGAACCAAGGTACCTAGACCCTAGTGTTTCAACTGGATGGGGTTGTTGTCATGCACTGCTCCGTCCAGCATTCGCTGTATTTCCTCAATACCGGTGACACAGATGGAAGTCTGCACGCTGACGTTTTCAGAACAAAATAAATCAGGCTGCAGTGAGAGTCTCTCTCCATGGGATATGTGAAATAGCGGGTTTATGCATTTAGTCCTTCTCAGGCAAGCTCAGGGGTTTAGTGTTGACATAGCCCACAGGAACTGCACTCCACGATGCTTTTTTTTTCTCCAAGTGAGGATTAGAATATGCAGTTCACATAACCCGGCCAAAATTTATACTGTAGGTATAAACTCTGAAAGATCCACTCATTAGCCTACTAAAAGTGTATGCCATATAAAAACTAAAGTGATGGTCAGATATGTCAAAGTGTGTTGATTGATTCAAGTCATCAACTCATACATTGAGTAACATTACAAGTTAACATTCCACCTTAAAAGTTGCCGGCAGTCGGCCCAGCGAATTAAGTTTCTTTCCTCAGACTCCAGCTGCTGTGAGAGGCAGCAAAACATCCTTTCATTTTAAAGTTACAGTTTACTAATAAAACTCTCCACAGTATGAACAGTGGTTACATGAGCCTCAAAACCAGACACAACTCAGCCCTGAGCAGAGTGAACGTCCTCTAATGACCAATCAGACTGCAGTGTTCACAGCTCCACCTTTTAGTACCAGATCTGTGTGCTAGGTACCCCAACAGAGGGGGGCCCAAACATGGGGACGGTACGGATTGGTTCTATTGGCACCATCCACAACTTTTTGCAGTGGAAATGGAAAAAAGCGTACTGAACTGACCTGTACTGCTTGGTGGAAACAGGGCTATATGTTACGAACAAAGGTGGAGATCCAAGTGCAGGACACGGAGAGGGGTGTTGTTGATATAAAGTCTTTTATTGTAGAGGGGGGGTATTGGATGGAGGGCTGATGGCAAGGGCAAGGAGATCCACAGTAGATGAAGGCAGCAGTGATGTGGAGAGGCGGACGTGCAGATAAGAGGCTGGCAGCTGGATGAGCAGGTGATGGATCTGCAGCAGAAAAGTAAATTAAGTTAAGCACCGAAGAGTCACAGAGAAGCAAAGCTTTAGAACAATATAGATTTGGCCTGAAGCGTACTACCGCAGCAGTGAAACAATCTGGCGATGAGCGGCTGGAAAACTGGGGTAGATATACTGCAGGGCTGATGAGCTGATGGTTTGCAGGTGACTGGCTTGGAACAGGTGTGTCAAATCAGCAGTGACCAGAGAGCAGGAAGCAGAGGAGCGCCACAACCACCACACAGACACAGACAGAGAAACAGACAGGAGCACAGGGGACACAAGGGTAGGGGAAACACAAGGAAAAAACTGGAGGCCAGGCTGTGGCTGCAACACTATAGATGCAGCAATGCCTCTGGTGGAACAGGTGATGGCAGTATGCAATCTCAAAAGCAATGGTTGCAATCTGCGATAAAATGGAAAGAAGATGAAACAAGCATGCACATTTAAATCAGGAAGTACCACAACATTTCCACCATAGAAAAATTCAGAAAAGGAACAAATGGTTGTACAAAAATTCAACAGAATAAGGTGTTGGATGCTTAATATAGGTCCTCCCAAATGTTGATGCAAAACCTACATCCTTGGCTCACAGCCACATGCAAAGTCTGAGACAAACCAAATAGCTGAATTGGTTTTGTTTTTTTACAAACATCTTAAAACTCACTTGTTTACTTGATCTTTCTGACTTCATATTCTGTGTCCTGCCCACTCTGTGTCTCCCTCCTCTGTTCTTCCGTCTGTAAAGTTTTCTTACATTTCAGGGTTCAAAATCTTTCACCTTTGAAGCATAAAGCTAAAGACTTCCTCCTCTTCCTGCTTCTTGTGCCGCTGAACTTGTGCAACAACCATAAAAGAATGAAAGTGTCCAACACAGCCATGATGGATCCTCTGATCTGATAGCAGAGTTCAACAGCAGCACTACATTCCCATCGATCAGCCTCCGCAATGCAACGGGGCCTTGATGTGGGAAACTGCTGCTGTGTGCAGAATCCCACCAGAAACAGGAGTCATCACACACACACACACACAAATAAGGACACATACAATTTTTACTGGGTGTTAATAATTACAACTGCTGAGTCCTTCATATTCTTGTCTGGTTCGTTTGAATGCTCATGTTTCTGTACCCATCACCCTTTTTTCTGTGATGTCACTCATTTCCCACATCTTTATTGTTATTATTGATAGGACAGATGGACAAAACTACAATAATAAGACCTAAGTTGTGATAAACTGTGATAACTCTTAAGACTTTCAGTAGTGGCACAAAGTGTTTGCCTACTTCATTCAAACAGCTGCTGGTTTGAGACAGTCAGTACATTGTTATTTTGCAGCGAGCCCAGTCAGCGGAAGAAAATGTTGATATTCTGTGTTTCTGCAAACCACCAATACCTTGCATTTGTACATTTCATATGTGTCATATTAACATATCTAAGGTGACATAGTATATGAGCTGACTTTGTCATTGGTGGGATGGAGGGGACTGTAGATGGTAAATGGTGTGACACCTTAGGTAAGATGCCTGCAGTGCTGCAGACCACCTTTCAATATTTGTCTTTTGGCGACCCTTTGTGGTATTTTCACAGGTGTTTTCCTGTGACATTTGTGTCACTGAAACTGGGTGTTTTTTTGGTTGTTTTTCTTTCACCAAACCTGGGTGTTTTCAGTGGCATATTGTGGCATTTTTCAGCAGTGTTTCTAGAACCAAAACTGTGTTTTTTTTACAAACACATAGTGATGTTTTTCAGCAGTGTATGGGCCTCCATACCTGGGTAGTTTTCACCAACACATCCCGGAATTTCCCAGTGGTGCTAAAAAAAACACTGAACCTGGGTGGGTTTTTTTTTTAGTGGCACATTGTGGCATTTTAAGCGGCAGTTGTGGCACCAGAACAGGGTGTGTATTACCAACACCACCGTTTCGCAACTGCATATGAGCCTCCAAACCTGGGCGTTTCTCAACGACACATCACAGCGTTACCCAGTGGTGTCTGAGCCATGGAACCTGGGCATTTTCTGTTTTGTTTTGTTTTTCATCAAACCTGGATGTTTTCAGCGGTGCACTGATGGTGTTTTTTAAACAGTACATCACAGAATTTTCCAGTGGCGTTTAAGTCACTGAACCTGGGTGGGTTTTTTTCCTTTTACCAAACCTGGGTGATTTAAGTGGCACATCATGGCATCATGGCAGTTGTGGCACCGAAACTTTTTTACCAACACATCTTGGCATTTCGCAGCCGAGTATGAGCTTTCAAACCAGGGTGTTTCTCACCGACACATCACAGCATTTCCCTGTGCCGTTTGAGCCACTGAACCTGGGTGGGTTATTTTCCACCAAAACTGGGTATTTTTTACCAACACATCTCAGCATTTTGCAGTGGCGTATGATCCACAGAACCTATGCATTTTTTACCTACACATTGCATCGTTTATGTTTTTTTTTGTTTTGTTTTTTCCACCAAACCTGGGCGTTTTCAGAGGCACATTGTGGCATTTTAAGCAGCAGTTGTGGCACCAGAACTGGGTGTGTATTACCAATACCTCTTGGCGTTTTGCAACTGCATATGAGCCCACATACATGAGCATTTCTCACTGACACATATTGTAGCATTTCCCAGTGGCGTTTGAGCAAATGAACCTGGGTGGGTTTTTTTTCATCAAACCTGGACGTTTTCAGTAGCGCATTTGTGGCACCAGAACTGGGTGTTTTGTTATTAACACATCACAGAATTTTCCAGTGGCGTCACTTTACCTGGTAGGGCTTTTTTTTTGCCAAACCTGGGTGTTTTAGGTGGCATATCATGGCATTTTTGGCGGCAGTTGTGGCACCGAAACTGGATGTTTTTTACCAACACATCTTGGCATTTTGCAGCCGAGAATGAGCCTTCAAACCTGGGTGTTTCTCACTGACACATCACAGCATTTCCCTGTGCCGTTTGAGCCACTGAACCTGGGTGGAGGTTTTTTTCCACCAAAACCGGGTGTTTTTAGTGGCTCGTGGTGTTTTTCAGCAGCATTTGTGGCATCAAAACTGGGTGTTTTTTACTAACACATCTCAGAATTTTGCAGTGGTGTAAGAGCCACTGAACCTGGGCATTATTTATGTTTAGAGTGAGTTGGGGTTTTTTTGTTTTGGTTTGGTTGTTTTTTATCAAATAAAACTTTTAGTGGCACATTGTGGTGTTTTTCAGCGGCATTTGTGGCACCAAAACTGGGCGTTTCTCACTGACACATAGCAGTGTTTCCCAGCGGCGTTTGTGTCACTGAACCTGTGTTTTTAGTGATTTATCCCCTCATTTTTCAGCAGCGTTCATGGCACCAAACCTGGTCATTTATCACAGACAAATCATTCCGTCTGAGCTACTGAACTTGGGTGTATTTTCCACTGACCTGTTCCTGCTTTTCAAGCTGCTTGTGTTCCACCAAATGTCAGTGTTTTAAGCCAGAACATGATCTTCTCCTCACTGTAACCAGGTGATTTTTGTGCCTAACCCTAACCACAGCTTCACTACAGCATTGTAGCGAAACATAAAGTTTCAGTGTATCCGCTACAAAATAATTACAAATATAATGTATCCATGGTAAAATCACAGTGTGAACATTTATTCTGCTGATGGGTTGTTACAACAGTCCAGAGCACAAAGTCGGGCTGGAGGTCCCTAACTGCTGCTCATGTGTGATCTCTGATAAGCTGATATTCAGTCTAATTCGAAGCTGCATCAGCTGTCATCTAGCTGCAGAGTTGGAGCGCTTGCATGCACAACACGTAGCAGTGGAAGCATCACAGAGAAGGCCTCCTGTCAAGCAAACATGACAGCCGATGACAGACACTGCTGTGGCTGATGAATAGTTTATTACCTACCTGCTGTCAAACAGCAAACATCCATCTGCGGTTACGCTCACAACCAACTTCAGCTCATTCAAACAAGCCGGGTGTTTTTATGTATCTTAATATTTCAGGCTGAATGTTTGTTGTTTCATTATTTAGATTGAATCGTCCGTCTCTGTCACGTCTCTGATGGATGCTGACTTACTATTGTGTGAAAAGTTTGGAGTTCTGGTTTGTTTTGAGACATTTTATTTGCTCTATTTACATACTTAAATACATGATGATTCATTCCTGCTGTTTCCAGTCTCGGCCTGAGTTACGCACTTTAACACAAACAGCATCCTTCTTGTTGTCCGTTTGTCCTCGCATTACAGGACCTTGCCTTAAAGATGCTGGCAGGCAGGTTTGGCCCGTCCACTCCACCTGTTGACGTGTTCAAGGCCTCAAAACATCCTTTTAGAAGGTTACATCTTTAGGCTATGAGTGTCATCTGGGTACACATTGAAATAAAGAACATACATATTCATAAAAACAAACAAAAACATTTCTTATTTATAGCTGTTTTTTTCTAGTGTGAACTGAAGTGAGTGGGTTTCTATCAGTGTGTTTTATTTTTTGATGCTGTGCTTCCATCTTCTGGAAGACACAAGAACAACAGTATGAACGTTGGCGATAGTCTGTTTTGTGTTTGAGATGTAGAAGTAAAGATTCATAATATTTCAAGTCTATCTTAAAACAACGTTGTCAAGCACCCATATGTGCACTGCTTGCTGTCATCATCCCTCCTGCTCACAATGGCCGGTTTAAGATCCCCTCCAAACATTGTTCTAATGTACATGAAGGGAAGCAAAATCCAAAATGCAAAAATCCTTCCAAAGTTCATCTGAAGCGTCAGCTGATAGGAATGTGAGGCTGATGTGAGTAACTTCCAAAGTTGGTCTTTATAGCATGACATTTTTTCTGTAACAAGCCATTTACCACAGATCAGCATGGAAAGTTTGGAAACACTTTCGGGGGAAACACTTCTGCCCAAACACCGCTGTAACTTTAGAACATATCCATTTTATTTGACTATTTGAAAGAATTATAATTAATTACATTTCACCTCTGGAAATAAAACAACTCTAAAAAACATAACCAAAAACAACCAGACAGTGACACATCCCATCGTGCAGGTTTAAGCCTGGTTGTTGCACGACACAAGACACTCACTACACTTCTGGGATATTTTGATGGACAGTGTTTCACAATTTTCTGCCGTTAATTGAGAGACTGAAAAAGTAATGGGCAGATGAATTAACAAAAATAAAAGTTAGTTGCAGCTCTACTTTTTACATATGACCCCAGTTACGCCC